CTGCTCAGTTTGGAGCACTGATGCTCTAATCCTCGGAGAGGTAAATCTGTACAAAAATCCGGGTGATACTGGCGACTCATCTGTATTTCTACCGACAAGGGACTCCCTGACATATTACCCAATGCGACAAACCAGTGGAGCGAGTTTAACCAGTAATGTTGAGGACTCTTAAAAAAAATTTATGCATCTTCAATAAAATATTTTTTGAATGAAGTATACAAGTAACCACTTAAGCTTTTTAGTTGAACTATCTTTATTTAACATACTAAGTAATGGTTCATGGAATATTTTGTTTTATAATAAAATATCATTTCTTCTATAAAATTTAACTGCAAGCAAAATATGTTTATAATATTTTGATTAATATAATATTTTGATATAATATAATATTTTGATTTGATAAGTTACAATATTTATTTTGATAATATTTATACAATATTTATTTTAAAATATTTCGATATACGAATTCAAATAAATATGCTTATGAAATATTTTCATTTATTAAGAATTATCATTTCTGATAACGAATATTTATTAAAAATATTTTGATTTGATAAGTTACAATCTAAAATATTTCGAGGAATTATAGTAAGAGAGGAATTTAAATAAACATGTTTATGAAATCTTTTAAAACTGTATACTTTTAAATTATAAATAGTTTCTTCTAGCATTTTCCGTATTATATTCGTACTTCGCTTTTTCCAATATGCGCTGGTTAATTGCTTCCATAAAATTTTTATATTATATAAAAATTTAAAGGCCAATTTCCTTTCTTCCACCTTCTTCTAACCATCATCATTACTGATTAGGTTGATCTGGCTGGCTAAAAGCATGCGAGCATTTCCATGCGATTCGATCCATTGCCAAATCTTTTCCATCTTCTAAGCCCATTTATTATTATTTATTATTTGTTCCAGCTATACGTTCAGGATTTTATTGGATTTTCGATGAATGTTTAATTTTTATCAGAAATAAAAGTTTACAATTTAAAAAAATAAAAGATTCTATTTATTCATTAAATAATCGTACTTCCTTTGTTTCGTTTGATTAAAATAGAAATTTAATAATTTAAAATATTTAATTTCATCCATGCTTAAATTAACGATTTTTTTAAGTTCATCTATTGGGAATAATTTATCAGTTTTGCTTTTAACTAAATTGTGATAGAGAATTTTATCAAAAGGATAATTTCAATGGCTACTTTTTGGTTCTACCTTCTTCAGTTTTACTCGATCGTCGTTTTGATTGCAGCGGTATTCATTTTTTTATTTCATAAGGAATTATACTATAAATTAATAAATTATTAAGTGAATTGGTGAATGGTGATAGAAATTATAAACATTTTTTAATGAAAATATTTATATATTATATATATTATTTTCATGATATTTCATGATTATAAGGATTATATGATTAACGATTATAACGATTCTCATGAAGCTTTTGTTTTTTTTCAGCAAAATGTCGAAGTCGATCCAAGGGCTATTGAAGCATATAAGGCAATGATATTGCAAAAAGATTATGCATATCTTATCTTTCAAATTTCTGATAATAAAGTGATTATTCAAGAAAAAGGTGATCAAAAGGCGTCGTATTCTGCATTTCTAACAGTATTAAATCTTCCTTCATTCACTATAATGATTATTGAATATTTTTCAAGAATTTCCTTGATAATACTATGAAAATCATCGTATAAAATAAAATATATATATATATATATATAAGTATAAAATAATAAGTATAATAAGTATAAATAAGTTTAAGTATAATAAGTATGTATAGTATAATATATAAGTATAAAATATATAAGCTGAATAAGTCTCTCATCAATAAGTCTTAAACCAGCCGCTAATCGCTATGGTTCCCACAGAGTCAATCATTGTGGCCAAGTCAACGGATACTAAGACAGACATTATCCGTTTTGATAGTATTCACATATTCACATCTTATTTCCATATTTAGAATGGATTTAGAGGGTTTTTTTTTCATACAAGTATACAAAATGAATTAAATTGAACAAAATGAATGAATCCAAAATGAATTAAATTTTTATAATATTAATAAAGTGAATATATAATAAATAATAAAAATTAATAAATTTTTTAATTGCCGCTTTCCTTAATGGATATATTTAAATTTTAGAAGGAATTCAAAATGATTAAAAATATTTTCTTATTATTTTCAGATGCTTTATTTGATTCTTTTTCAATTTTTTATCCAATCGTATTTTTTAATATAATGTATTGAGTCGAAGAAGATAATTTTAACACTTATTAGTGCTATAAAATGCTATATTTATGCTATATTTATATCTATATAAATAAATATATATAAAAATATAAAAATTAATACAAAAACTAATTATTAAGTTTGTATTAATTATTTATAATTTTAAGAAATTTCGGCAATATGTCGAAGGTAAAAAGGAATGTCGTTATGGCTTGGCAACTATAAAGGGGCATAAAGATGGCGAATTAAGAGCAGAACTCGTTCTTATATCTTAGTTAATTTTATTATTAAACTTATTCTTATAATCGAATATATAAAATTTTGCCACCCATATAGAAATATATTACAGAAACTATTGAAGAGTTTATTTCTAAATAGAAAAAACTATTGCGCGAAAGAATTAAAAAATGGAACTAAATTTCTGTTAAAGTTTCGAAGATTTTTTTTTAAATTTTTTCATGCTACAACATTGATTTCGTTTATCAAATCCTACCATCTATAGATATCATTAAAGAGTTTTTTTTTAACCAAAAGATAATATGGTGATAAACGTTATCCAGGAAAATGAAGCAAATTTCATTAAATGTTAAATGCTTTCCTTTCTTCCTATTATAATTAAAATTTTAAAATTACTCTTATATATTCCTCAAAATAGATCAGAATTTGTATTCATTGATTATGACAATTTGACAAATTTCTTTTTTTTTTAGAATAGTTCAATAAATTAATAGTTCATAAATTCTCTATTAAGAGAATAGTGAAAATATAGTTGCGATGAAGAGAAGAGAAGCATAATCATAAACGAGTACCATTTAAAAATAAATCGATCCTATATACTGTCGGGTTTGAGGCTAATTCAATTTCTGAGCCTAAATCAGAATCCTTAAGTAGAACGTCATCATAGATTCCATAGGATAATTTCGACAAGTTTATTCTCTAATATTAATAACCATAGATAATGGTACGTATTGTTTTTTAGCTGCGTGGATGATGCACCAATACGTATGCGTATGTTATATTCTGCTGCGTTCGGTCATTTGAAGGTTGCCTTTAAAGAAATCCGTAATATTATAATCACTTCCAATGGGTCCGAGCTAACAGAAAAAAACGTCAAACGAACATTTCATTTTGACGATTAATGAGAAAAATTTCAAATGTAAACCGTCAATGATAAAATTCAAAATTCATAAAATACGAATATAATTTTAGAATTTTTGGTAACATTTCTGGTGTCGTTTTTTTATGGTAATTGGTGTTTGAATGTTTTTATTGGTCTGAATAAATTTTTATTATTATTCTTTTTTAAAGTAGTTCTTAAAATTTTGATTAGTTTAAGGAAGTAATTTTTAGAAATTTTAGGATAAATTTTTATTAAGAATTTTAGAAGAAGAATTTTATAAATTTTATTATTAATATTAAATATTATACATTTAATATTAAATATTTACAAATATTTATTGAATAAAAATTTTGCGATAACTTAAATTAAATATTTATTGAATTAAAAATTTTATAAATAAAGATTAAAAATTAAATTTGCAGAAAAAAAAATGGAAAAAAAGCTACAAATCGACAAAAGCATTTTTTTGTACGAAAAAAATTTCATTTTGAAATCTAATTTTGGTTAACCGAATGAATTAATAACTTCTCTATATTTATCCCCTCGAGGCGTAAATTTCCGTTGGTTATTATGAATTTAGGCCAAATTTATTATTACTATTTGAACCGATATATTTAATTTATATTAATATAGAGAATTATAAAAGTTGGGATTGTTCAACGGAATAGAGGGTGCTTTTTGCATTCATGGAAATTTTTCGCCGACTTTTTGCAGAACATCTAAAATTTTCAATGTTATTTGATAATAAGTTTAAAATTCTGATTTTATAAATGTGTGCCTCAAAAAGACAATGGTATTGCTATTGTAATGAAATTTAATTAATTCGATTTATAATATGCTTGCCAAGCAATAAGACTCCAACGAGAACAAATTTTTTGGCAATTGCAACGAAATCGTTACTAAACTAATTTAAAGAAATAACTACTATTAACCAAATTCCCTTACAATATGAACCCCATATTCCACCACCTAATACTTTTTTTCTTCGGTCGGGAATGTCGGAAACAACAGAAGGAAAGAATTAATAAAATAACATAATAGTAAAATGATAAGAATTCATAAAGCTTTTTAAAATTCAAAAGAAAAAAACGACAAGATTTTATCAAAGCTTTTCCACATCATAAGCAGTCAACAATGTACAAATCACATAAAATTGTTTTTCTTCTTTCTTTGTTCACGCATCTGTTAATAAATTTGTAAAGCCATCTTATTAGCATATCAAAAACAACAATTATGAAAAAAATTATGAATAAAAATAAACTAAATTTAATTTCTAATAATAATTTTTATAATTTATGATATAATTTTTGATCTACCAATGTTTGGATCACTCAGATGGGTAATGAATGAAGGACTATTGTTGGATTTTCCTTTTTGGAGGATTGAAGATCGGCTCGCCCTCGTCCTGCTTAACCTTTTTTTTTGGTTATAGCTACTTTTCTTAACTTTATTCACTTTACCTCAAATCTATTAAGTAACCAACTTTATTTATTACCGTAAATGTAATGCATATTTTTCTGTAAAAAGAAGATTTACCTGAATTTTGGATATCTCATAACGGCAATAAAATTTCCGCAAATCACCATCCTAACAACTGCTATTTTCAGAAAACTACACATTATTACTGTTGTATTTTTCATCAAAATTAGTAAAACATGCAATATCGCAAATGTTTTTCTGATATGGTATTTCACATCTCCTTGCCTGATTAGTCAATTTTTAAACAAACTAGTCCTCTCGTTATTCTAAAAGCTCTCATCATCTTTGATTAGGCTGGTTCCGCTGGCTATAAGTGTATAAAATGTTTGGTTCAATGCCGTTGCTGACAGTAATAGAAGCCATTTTTCCCATATTGCATAAATCTATAATGTCACTAGTCCACATTTAATCATTTTTTCTGACTGAATCAGTCCAGGTCATGGCCCTATCTTGACGCCATTCATCGCGTAATTTAACAAGTAATAACGAAAAACAGCCTGTCTATCCTACTTATGCGAGTCTGTCAAATTCTCTCATAACGCATTAATCCTACTCACGCGAGCTTGTCTAATTCTCTCATAACGCGTTAATCCTACTCACGCGAGCTTGTCTAATTCTCTCATAGCTTGTCAATCCTATTTACGCGAGCTTGTCTGATTCTCTCTCAGCTTGCCAATCTTACTCACGCGAGCCTGTCTAATTCTTTTTCACCATTAATTATATTTTTCAAATTTTTCTAATTTATTTTCGATTCGTTTGTTATATTGTATTGTATTTTTGTGTTTGTATTGTGTTTTTTATTTTTTTATTATTTTTCGCATTTTTTGTTACATTTCACGAATTTTCTGACGTTTTCAACACGTTTATTTTATTACATTCTTTTACTCATTAAGCAGAATTTGTATAACTTTAATGTTTTGTTAACTAATTTTTTAGTGGTTTCAGACTGAGAATGATTGAATTGTTTTCAGTTATTTTTATCAAAATCCTTTTCAATATTTCGTTCTTTCAAACTGAGTTATAATCATTAATTTAATTCAGTTCTTGCAGGTGAATTTCAATGCTTGTTTTCGCCGAGAATACTGTGAATTTGTATTTTGTAATTGTATTTGTGCAATTTGTTTTTTTATTTTGATTGACTTCACAGATTACGTATGGCTGAAAACTCTTATAGACTTCAAATTTCTTTTTGTTCAGCTATTTTTTTTCTTTGGTAACAATCAATTTTTAAACTTTTTTTTGTGATCATATTAGGTAATATAGTACTCTTTGTTGTTTTTTGTTAGAATTTTGTTAGAAATTTCTTTTTGAATTTGTATTATTTGATTATTTAGCATTAAATTCGCAATATATTTAGACATTTAATAATAATAATCGTAATTATATCAATTCTCGAATAGAACATTTTAAACAATGTTGATGGTAATCATCGCTTAAGAGAGCTATAGGCATAAAGCCAGTTTGTCGCAAATTTCGAAGTTAATTTTATCAGTATTGGTTTCAGTTTTGGTTATTTATTAGAAAGATGCAGCAAAACGCATTATTTCTTAAATCCTTAGTTTTCCGCAGTCATCAATATTTCTAGATGAACCACAATTTTTCGCAAAATATGCAGGAAGAGAATTATAAAAATGTATGCAACGGTGAGATCTGTGAACGACCTGTCATTGAAGAGAAGGATAGTCATCAAATTACTGAACCACTTTTCGGAATGCTCGCATCATTTTCGATTTTCCTTCACTCATTTCATCACTTATTGATGTATCTCAATTAAGCTGATAAACTTGTCGTGGAAACATTATCATATCAGTCCCGTGGTCCTTTATCATTCAAGTAAATAACCTCATGGAGAAGGCAGCACTTCCCCTTTGCAGCATTCATTTTGAAAATGAAATGAGGATTTATATCAACCAAATTGCAAAGAGATTAGTGTATCGAAATTTCGCATGACATAAACGCTGTTCGTTACATTTCAATTTATTATTTAAACAATGGCTATTAATATCAGAAAAAACATCTATTAATATCAGAAATAATCAGAAATATCTCTTTTCAGGGAGCCTTCAAAGCAGTTAGAGAATTGGGAACTTATACGCCAGTCAGACTTGTGTGATGTCAGACACACTTTTTTACTTTTTTAATTTAATTGATCTATAACAATTATTTGCTTTTACAAGTAGAAGATATCGAGTTGATTATATCTGCGTTTGCTTTTGATGAAATTGAATGATCTTCTGAATTTTGTTCGACCATCGTTTCCTCTTTGGACACTATAAGAGACCAGCAAGAAAAGCATGTTTTATAGCTGCTTATCTCACATTAATTCTGCTTTTAAAATAGTAGCAACTCAATTCAAATAACCCTTAAATCAACAAGTCTTGGTAAGGAATTCAAATAACGAATTTTTTTTTATTACCGAATGTTTGTCTATGCGATAAGGCTCTGGTTCCGAAGACTGCGAGAAGGCTCGAGTTTTGCACGACTTAACTTTTGCTACCCATCCATAGGTTTAATGTCTCCAAAGTATAAGGGAGCGCTATCAATTTCTTTAATAAATTGGAGGGCATCAAAATCCTTATTATTATTATCATTATCATTATTATCATTATTATCATTATTATCATTATTATCATTATTATTATTATTATTATTATTATTATTATTATTATTATTATTATTATTAATTATTGAATAAATGTTCCCTCAAATATTAATGATCATTCAGCAAAAACGATCATTTTTTGATTAATAAGGGAATACTATCGCACATTTTACTGCAGTAATCCGCATTTACCCGAATTACTGTTTCGGAATGTGCTTTTCTGATTAAAAGCAAAATTTTAAGATGAATTTTATAAATTTAAACGATCTCGGAATCTCACATTATTTCACGAAAATTATTTATTTGTTGTAAAATTATAAAATTATTTCCCGAAAAAATTTTCTAAACTCACTTCAGAATTGTTTTTTATTATGAGTTATTACAATAATAGCAATAATAACAATAGCGTTTAGAAAATATTAGATGATAGAAATTTAAAATTCACCGTTTCAGTTGTGTTTCAAATGTTCTCCTATCCATTCAATTTCTGAAATTTGCCTATTTTTTAAAAATCGTGGTGCTGATAGCGATCTGCTAATAATTCTTTCGCTACGTTTCTTTGATAAAAATTAAATTTAATCTGAGAATGGAGCTTAAATCGAAATGATGAGCATTTCCCCAAAAAATTGCAAGAATTTCCTCGTATTCCATTTTTCAACCTAATTATATGATTTATAGAAGTGTTTAAATTATAATTATAACTGATGAGTTAAGTTAGATACCTTGAAATTACTAAACAGTAATCCACATTTAACAGTAATTCACACTTCTTTTATTAACATTTATTTCAACACTTCTGCCAAAATCTCGTTGGAGAATCGCTTTAGGGAAATATCCAACAAATATCCAGCAGCCCAGATTTTTATGAGAGTTCTATTCAATTTCTATTGAATAGAGAATCAAATGAATGCTTGGAGTTGATCGAAGCAACCATAGCA